TTGGAGTTGGACAGACAAGTACGATATTGAAGAACAGTGGAAAACCAACTCGACTAGTTACAGGATCGAATACAGTTGGAGCGGTTCAGGAATTACCAAAGAGGTTTATGTCATCAAGAATTCCGATGGCGACGAAATTGCCCGCACTGATCGTTTCCGATTGGAGTTCGGTAAAACGATCAAGTTGAAAGATTCCAAGACTGATTCAACGTTGGGAGTCATCGAAAGACCAGCATTCCAGTTGTATCCGACATGGGAAATAACTGTGACCAACAAAAACGTTGTCCCGACCTACATGTTTGGCGCCATTGCAACGATAACTACATTGAAAGAAGATGAAGACAATAATTGATAGAGTAATTGTATGACGTTACATAGTATACCCATGACTTGGGCTTTACTAAAGTAATTTTGAAACATACTAGAACAAGTTTTTCCAACGATTTTGACAATTTTGTAAAATGAATTTTCGTAGGTAGTTTTATAAGCATTTGGCGAATCGAAATASCCCRGAGGGGGTGGCTGCTAAGGACCGTTATGACGATGTCACGCTATTCAGATTTTTTCAGTCAAACGAAACTTAAACCTCGCCYCTCGATTAGTCATGCGGAAGTTAGTAGATATGCGGGGTTTCGTAAGAATATGCTGCAAACTTATGAAAATATATGACACTGACCATGCTAAGTTTTACAAAATGTGTGAAAAACGCGAAAAATTGTTGGTTGAGTGACATTGTCAATAAGTACATTGGGGTGGGAAATTTGACAGCATATGAGAGGGGTAGGGAGGGGGTACTTGAAGTTTTCTCAAAATCTTTTTTAATGTTCCAGCCTGAAAAGAAGGGCCTTTGCTCAACAGCCCTGTGCTGTGATTTGTTAAAAGGTAAATAATCATATAATTTTGCCTGTGAAAATTTATCTGTAATATATTTTAATTCAAAGTGGGCCATTGAGGGTAATTTTCTCCCTAATATTATTTTAGCAATAGCAGAAGGATTCACTCCATTAATGGTTTTGCAGGAACAAATTACACCCAATGTGAATGATGTAAAAAGCTATATGGATAAATAAATAAATAAATGAAATGGCCTTGAAGGCTGGTTTTGGAAAGGGCGATGGCCTCATGTTCAATTCGCTTGAATCTGAATTGAATCTGAAATTGGTCTGGGTTCAAGCCCTGACTGGGGACATTGTGATTTCTTCTTGGGCAAGACAAGACTAGCATCCCATCCTGGGGGTAGTAGAAATATTCCTAGTTGCTTCATGCTACTGAAACCGGGATAAGTGCTAACCTGATTGGCCGTTTGGCCTGTATGGACACTGTGCCTTCTTCATTGGGGTAAGGGAAATTTGGGGTTGGCTCCCACAACCTAGTGCCATGGGAAGGAGGTCGATCCAGTGTCTGATTGGATGCTATTTCCATGTGAAAATTCAAAACTGAGCAAAACAAATCAGACTCCTCTACATGGATCCCGGTGGACCTATGTCCTCATCTTGGACAGTCCTCAAGCGGGAAGAATTGAGCAAGGAGAAAACAGGCACTTCTCCTTTGTCTTGTAATTGATGGCAGCTTACTATCTGTTGCTGAAAATTACTGTTCTTTATTTTGATCTCCTGTGGATAACAATGAATTGCTTCAGAAATTGCCACAGCGGCAGGATACTACTTTGGAGAATTTACTTTCTTTTTTTTTTTTGCTACGCAAAAATACAGGTAAGAATATGACAACGTTTGCCTTAGTTATATATTAATCTTTAGTTACAAACATTTAAAGAGTCTTTTATTTGAGTGTGACCCAAATAATGTGACTTAATAAGTATTGTGTGACCCACAATAGCTATAGGTTTTTTTTTTTTTTTTTAGTATTTTCTTCTAATTTAACTTGTTTTTGTTATGTCCCCGTATTAGTAGGGGAGTTTTTCCCCAGCTAGGTGG